CCCCCCCCCCCCCCCCCCCCAGTGGCCTTCAGTGCCTCCTAAATTATTCCTGGGTGCCCCCCGTTGGTCCTGAGTGCCCCCCTGGGTGCTGGGTGAGCCCAACCAGTCCTAGGAGCCCAACAGTGCCAGCTGCCCCTAACGGCAGCCCGTAGCTGCGAGCAACCCCACCACCCCTCAAAAACTCAAGCTGCCCCCACTCAGCCCTGTGCGCTCGTGGGGGGGGGCCGGGGAGGCGTGGTTATACTTGGCCACGCCTCCGTCAGCGCAAAGCGCCACCCTATGCGCGGCGGAAGTCTCGCGAGAAGCGGCGTGATGTGCGGGGGCTGTGTGGGCACGGAGTACCCCGAGAGGGTGGGTAGGCCGCGGCCGGGCCGGGGGGGGCCGGGGAGCACCGAAGCCCGGTGCCGAGCCGTGCGGTGTCCCCTCGTAGGGCACCACGTGCCTGGAGGGCGGCTCCTTCCTCCTTAACTTCGTGGGGTGCGCGCGGTGCGGCCGCCGGGACTTCGTACTGCTGGGCAATCGCGCCGCCGGCCTGCACGGCGACGATGAGATCATCACCTACGACCGTGAGCGGGGGGTGGTCTGGCCTGGTGTGGGGGGGCTCTGAGGGTGTCTGGAAGGGGGGTGTGGGACTCCTGGCGGTTTCTTGGGGGTTTGGTGGTTTTTTGGGGGTGGAGGGGTGTGTTGGGGGTCTGGTGCTTTAGGGTGGGTTTGCCTTGTGTGGGGGGAGGTGTTGCAGGGTCTCCAGGAGGGGGGGAACTGGGGCTCAAGGCTTGTGTCTGAAGGGGGTAATTGGTGGGGTTTGGTGCTGTAAAGAGAGGGGTGTTGGAGGGATGTATGGGGGATATTAGGGAGAGGGAGGATAGTGGAGGGAGTGTTTAGGTATTGGGCTCGAGGGGGCATTGGGAGTCCGGTGCCATAAAGGGGAAACTGGGAGGAGTTGAGCCTTGAGGGGGATATTGAGGGTTTGGGACCTTACAGGGGTGATTACCCGCTGGGGGAGTGGGGGGGAGGGTTGGTGCTTTGAGACCTAACCTGGGGCTCAGGGGGCTCAGCATCCCAGGGTGGGACTTTTGCCCCGTGTAGGGGCTGAGGTGGGTTCAGAGGTGAAGCCAAGGGTCCCCGGTGAGCACTGTGCCAGGGCTGGGCACATCATCATATCCCCATCCCTGAAGGCCCTTACCTGGCTTCCTCTGCAGACCTGTGCAAGAACTGCCACCACCTGATTGCACGCCACGAGTACACCTTCAGCGTGGTGGATGACTACCAGGTACATCCTCCAGGGGTCAGGGGGTTCTGCTGTGCTGCGTGGTCTCTCCCCAGCCCTGGGGGGTGCCCTCATTTTTGCTAGTGCCCACCTGCCCTCACAGCCACTGGAGGGAGCTGGAGGTGAGCAGCAGCCCTGGCACTGGTCCCGGTATCACAGGTGCACAGCTCAGGAGCTCTGTGACACACATGAAAGCAGCCACCCCACACTCCCCATCCCTCTTCCCTGGCTCATTGCCCATTCAGCAGCAAAGTGCTGGAAAATGGGCTGTGGGCAACCAGTGAGGCAGGGTCCTGGGGGGATGAAATGCAATCCGTTGTGATCTGATTGCAATCAGGGATCAGGTGTCAGCCACAGCTCAGGTTTCCTTGGCAGTGGAGGGAGGGGATAGTGTGGCCTGAGCCCCCTTCCTGCGCTGTGTTCTGCTCCAGGAGTACACCATGCTGTGCCTGCTATGCGGCCGCGCCGAGGACTCGGTCAGCATCCTGCCTGACGACCCACGTCAGATGACCCCACTCTTCTGAAGGCAGTTTGTAACCCTGGGTGGGGGGGGCTTCAGCCCTGACCTGAGACCGCTTTGTGCTGATGAAAAGAAGGGGGGGGGGGAAAGGGGGGGGGCAGCCTGTTGGCACCCTGAAACGATTCTGTGCAGCGCAGCTGCCTGAGGAGTGCGAGCAATAAAGGTGAATTTGGTACAGCTCAGAGCTGCATGCAGAAGCACTCTGTATTTGTTCCCCCCCTTGGTGGGAACAGGCTGGGGGTGATGTCATTCTCCTGTGCCCCACCTCCCAGTGCTTGCTCTGCTCCAAACTCCCTCCCCACCCACCCAAAGCCCTTCTAAGGCTGTTGCCTCACTCTGCCTGCTGTGCCCCTCTGGGGGCACTCATTCCTGTTGTGGGCAGGGCGGGGTGGCACACCCTCACTGTGAGGCTGCAGAAATTGCTTTCACCTCTCCCCCTCTCTTCCTATAATGGAGCTGCCACCACGCTTTGGCACTGTTCCATTGTGCACAACTACTTCCTGCATCCCATGTGCTCGGTGTCTCAAAAACCAGGAAGGGGGGCACAAACAAGGGGGCTTGGATGCTGCCTCCAGCTCATTTATTGCCGCCAGCCCCATCCCAGCGGCCCCAGCCCTCCACCCCATCAGACCCCCTCCCCAGGGGGGTTTCGGAGGGGGCCATCACCTGGCAGAGGACAGGGGCTATCTGGGGGGGGGGGTACGGCCCTACTTGGCCAGCTTAAGGAGGCGCTGGATATCGGGCTCTATCTGGGCAGTGGGCAGGCGAGGGCTGTAGCGACGGAAAGGTTCCCCCTCGGGCCCCACCAGGAACTTCTCAAAGTTCCAGGAGATGTCAGAGCGCCGCACAGGGCTCCACACCAGGAAGCGGGGCTCGGCCATCAGGTGGTCTGCCTCATCCATGGGGGCGGGCAGGTGGGCCTTCAGGTAGGCGAAGACGGGGTGGGTGTCCTTCCCATTCACCTGGCACTTCTGGAACAGGGTGAAGTTGGGCTCGAAGCCGCCCCCTGGTCGCACGTGCTTGAGGCAGTTGAGGATCTCCTCGTTGGTGCCGTTTTCCTGGCAAGGGTACGAGGGGCTGAGCCGCATCATCCGCCACCCCGCGTCCCCTCATTCCCGTGGATTTACCTGGTAGCCGAACTGGTTGCAGGGGAAGCCCAGCACCACCAGCCGCCGCGGGTAGCGTGCCTGCAGCTGGTTGAGCTGGGTGTAGTCCCGCACTGTGGTGCCTCAGAGCGACGCCACGTTCTCGATGAGGACCACCCGCCCGCGGAAGACGTTGAAGTCCACCTTCTCCCCCTGCAAGGAGGTGGCGCTGAGGTCGTAGAAGGACTTGGCGATGGGGATGCTCATGGCTGCAGGTGACGATGTGCTCTGCCGCCTGCCTGCCCGCCTTAAAGGCTGACCTGTGCCCACGTGACGGCATCTGTGCTGTGACTGGGTGGAAAGCAGAGCCGGCCCACCTGCTGGCACCTGCCCAGGGACGGGGTGGGGGAAGGCCAGGGCAGCGCCACCGGCCTCAATTATTGATGTGGCTGCCACAGCACAGAGCTTGAAGCAGCCTGGGGCTGGGCGCAGGGTGCTGGCTGTGTTTGCCCCCACATTGTCCTTAGCACACGCCCATCCCAGTGCCCACCATCCTGAAGCCTGCGTGTCCCAGTGTCCATCACCATCCCCGTGCCAGCCATAATCCTGCTGCCTGCGTGTCATCCTTCTGGTACCCATCCATCCTGATGTCCAGTGCTGTCCCATTGCCCGCGACTTATCCTAATGCCACCACTGTTCTAATGTCGGCTTGTCCCAGTGCCCACCATAATTCCAATGCTCACTCATCCCAGGAAGTGACAGTGGCCTAAAACACACCTGCCCTGGTGCCCACTGTTGCACTGTCCGTAACCACCCTAATAACCACAAGGGCCAGTGGCCATCATTCTGTTGCCAACTCATCCCAGTGACCGCCACTGCCCTAAGGTTCCCCCATCCCACTGCCAACCATCATCCCGATGCTCACGTATCTCAGCACTCATCACCATCCTAGTGTCTGTCAGTTTCAATAAGGAACAGCATCCTAATGCCCAAATATCCAGCTGTCTGCCACCATCCTGCTGCACAACCCTTCCCAGTGCCCATGACCGTCCTAATGCACATGCCCCGTTACCCACCACCCTTCTAATGTCATTCCATCCCAGTGCCCACCATAATCCCAGTGTCTGCATGTACTGGTGCCCATCACCATCCTAATGCCCACCCATCCCAGTAAGCAACCCAATGCCCAACCATCCCGAATGGCCCACCACCAACCCACTGCCTACCCAACCGTGTGCTCGCTGCTACCCTGATACCACCATGTTCCAGTGCCCAGCTCTTCCCTGCTGCACACCACCATCCCATTGTCCCTCCATCCCGGCGCCTATGATCATCCTAACGCCTGCACTTCCCACTGCCATCCATCCATTTCCCACCCATCCCAGTGCCCACTGCTTGGTGCCCATGGCCCTGTTACCGCTGCATCTCCACATCTCCACAACCTTGTCCCCACCCTAGGAAAGGGGACACTGGTGGGTTCCCTCCATTATTCATCACTGCTTGGGTTGCCGCAGTGCCGGGGACACCATGGTGGCACCGCCAGGTGACACCGTTCCCGGTGAAGGGGCTCCAGTATCTCCTTTATTGTGGAAACGGTGTGCAAAACAGGGTTGCAGGGTATGCCAACAGTGCCTGGGACCCCCCCAAACACCAAGGGGCTGCGGTGGAGTGGGGGTAAGTCCCCGTTCCTTGTGTCCCCCCCCACCATGCCCCCTCTGTAGCAGGGCAGGGGGAGGCCAGGCTTCAACACCAGCAGTTTTTGGGGTTGTCGTGCCCCCCTGGGGTCTGCTGCTCATCCTCCTCCAGCTGGGCCAGCTCAGGGGGGGCCGTGGCAGTGTGCAACCCCTCCAGCTCCTTGCGGTGCGCCTGCAGCACCAGCTCCGTCAGTCGGGTGAAGGACTGCAGGGAAATGGGGTCAGCCTTTGGGATGGGGTGGGAGGCACCCGCCTTCAGCCCCACACACCTCCTTTATGTTCAGGTTGCTGCAGGCACTGGTCTCATAGAAGTCCATTCCATACTCCCGGGCAAGCTGCGAGGCAAAGGGCTCGGCGGTGCCGATAGGATTTTGGGTGAGGGGTCATCCCCCCATTTCTCAACATCATGGGGCAGACAGACGGTCCCATTGGGTGCACAGTCTATGGCCATGCATTGGGGTGTGGGGCAATTTTAGGGGAGGCTGGAGGTGGGGGAGCATTTGGAGGGAGAACTTGGGTGATGCTGGGGGGAGCACAAGGGGATGTTCAGGGTGCAGGAGGCTCCGGGGGGGGGTCCTGGTGCTTTGGGGGGCCCTGGCCACGCAGGGGGTGCCACCCCACCAGCTCACCTGCAGCCCTTGCTCTTTGGCCACTTGCCTCTTGTGCTCTTCGTCTGCTTTGTTCCCAATGAGGATCTTCTGGACACCATCGGGTGCATACTGAGAAAAGGGATGGGGGAGGAGGGAGCACATCAGCACCTCTCACCTCACCTATAAATGAAAGGGACCTCCCTCTGAGGCCCCACCTCGTCCACGTCGCTGGCCCACTTGACGATGTGCTGGTAGGAGCGCTCACTGCTGATGTCATACACTAGGAAAATGCCCTGCAGGAAAGGCACCAGGGAGGGGAGAAGAGGCAGCACTTTGACCTCCCCGTGCCTCAGTTTCTCCCCCTCATGCCCCTATTACCTGTGCCCGCCGGTAGTACTGCTTGGTGATGGTTTGGTACCGCTCCTGCCCTGCCGTGTCCCTGGGGGCATGGAGGGGGTTGGAGAAGTCATTCCATACCCCATGCCTCAGATGAACCCCGAGGGGGGGGCACCGTGGGGTGTGACCTCCCCAAACACTCACCAGATCTGGATGCGCACCTTGATGCCATCCACCTCGATCGTCTTCATCTTGAAGTCCACCCCTGGATGGGAGGACGGCAGCTTTATCATCATTATTTTTTTTCCTGGGGGATGGTTCCGTGCTTCCTCCCTACGTTCAGCTGGGACTGGGGACGCCCCCCCACAGACCCCTTCAGCCCTCCTGGCCCATAGCTGTGCTGTGCCACTCTGAACCCCCGCGGAGCTCCTTCCGCTGCCCTCTGGTGCTCCCAGCACTGCAGCTCGCCGCTGCTCCCTGTCCCCAGTGTGGTGGCTCCCGGTGCCCCCGGTTTCCCTGCTGTTTCCTGGTGCTGCGATGCTCCCAGCGCTCCCAGTTTCCCATTTTCCCATAGCTTCAATCTTCCCATTTTTCCAATTCTCCCAGCTCCCACTTCTCCAGTTTCCAGGTTCCTCACTGCTCCCAGCCCCCAATTTCTCCTCTTCCGGATTCTCCCACCTCCCGGTGCTCCCAGTTTCCCATTTTCCCACTACCCGTCACTCCCGGTTTCCCGGAGCCGGGATGCTCCCGGTACCCTCGGTTTCCAGGTTCCCCCGTGTTCCCAGCTCCCGTTGCCCCCGCTTTTGCTCTGCTCCCAGCCCCCCCTACCCCCGCTTTCTCACTGCTTCCAGCTCCCGCTACCCGCCCGGTTTCCCGTCTCCCAGCTCCCACCCCCTGGCGCCGCGCATCCCCGGTGCGAGTACCGATGGTGGAGATGTGCGCCGGGTGGAACTCGCTGTCGGTGAAGCGGCACAGGAGGCACGTCTTACCCACGCCCGAGTCGCCGAGCAGCAGCAGGCGGAACAGCACGTCGTACTGCTTGGCCATGGCGGCCTCGCGCCGCCGCCGGGCCGGGGGAGGGGATCCTGCGGGATGGCACCGGGGCGGGGCGCGGGGATGCGCCGGGCACCGGGAGGGAGAGGCGGGAGCGATGGGGGGGGGGGGAGGCAGTGAGGGATGCACCATGGGGATTCGAGGTGGAGGCACACACGGTTTTGGAGCGGGGGATGTAGGGGCTCGATGAAGAGTCGTGAGTTTGGAGCAGGGGATGTGGGTGACAGAGGAGGACGCAGCAAGGGTCAGAAAGGGATGCGGTGGGGGACAGCAACAGGGACAGTATGAGATGTCCTGGGGCACCGAGAGGTAGCAATGGGGTGTATGGAATGGACCATTTGGGAACACCTGGAGTTGCAGCCAAGGCACTGGGAGGAACCACAGCGCATTAAGGGGGTATTGGGGACACACACACGGGTTTGGACCCAAGGGACATGGGTGACACCGCAGCAGATATCTGGGAATGCACTGGGGGTCACCAGGAGGAGGTAGCATGGGGAGGTGCAGGGGGCACACACACTGGTTTGGAGCAGGATATGTGGGTGACAGGTGGGGACATGGCAGGGAACACCCGCAGATGCACTGGAGGACACCAATGGGGCTACCAGGAGATGTCCCGTGTCACTGGAAAGCAGCATGAGAAGGAGCTGGGGGATATGGGACAAGGTGGGGGACGTGCGTTTGGAGCGGGGGATGTGGGCAACAGCTGGGGACACAGCAGGGGACAGTGTAGAGGCGCAACTGGGCGACGTTGGAGGTGACATTGGGTGACATCCTGGGTCACTGGGAAGATGCGGAAGGGGGTATGGGGTGGGGACACGCATGGGTTTGGAGCGGGGGACGTGGGTGACAGAATGGGATGGCCCACAGGGCACTGGTGGGGACAATGGGAGACGTCCGCAGGTCTCTGTGAGGCCGCACCGGATGGGGTGATGGGGTGGAGACGCCCAGAGCCAGCCCGGGGAACACCCCCAGGGTTGGGGGTTTGCCTGCGCGGCCCGAGCGTCGCAGCGCCACGAGGTGACACCGCGGCCACACTGCGACACGGCGTCACCTGACCACACAACGCCAGCGCGCCGCCACGCAGCGCCGCCTGCCCCGGGGTGGTCGGGGCTTCAGAGCGGCGTGGGCGTGGCCAACGGCGGAGGGCGTGGCTACCCCGTAAGGGGCGTGGTCTTATGTCCCCGCCCGGCCGCCGTCGGCCCGGCCGGCAGCAGCATGGCGGGGGCATCCCCGCACGGCCCCGGTCCGCACGGCCCCGGCGGGCGGCGGCGGCTGCGGGAGGACGGCGTGAGGACACACACTTCCGCCGAGCAGGTGCGGGGAGAGAGGCTGTGGGGCCGGGGGTGGGGGGATTGGGGTCTGAGAGGCCGTACGGCCGGGGCTGAGGTACTGCTGTGTGAGGGGCCCGGGGCTCTGAGGGGTTGAGGTGTGGAAGTGGTTAGGGGGCCGGGATCGGAGGGGGCCTTGGGCCTGGGGGCTGAGGGGGCTGTGGTGCTGCGATCTGTTGGACTGGGGGCTGAGGGGACTGTGGTGCTGCGATCTGTTGGACTGGGGGCTTTGGGGCTGAGATCTGTTGGACTGGGGGCTGAGGGAGCGGGGATCTGTGGGACTGGGGGCTGAGGGGTTGAGGTCTAAGGGGCCATGAGATATGAAAGGGTGTATAACTGAGAGCTTGCAGAGCGTGGGATTGTGATGGAGCTGTGGAGCTGGGTCTGAGGGGCAAGTGCTGAGACTGGGGTCTGAGAGGGCCAAAGCCTGAAGGACTGAGGTCTGAAAGGCAGTGGTCGGGGAATGCCGTGGGTCTGGGATCTGAGTGCCAGGGTCAGAGAGTGCCATGGGGCCAGGTGTGAGGCAGTGAGGGGGTGAATGTCCCTGCTCCAGCTCCAGACCGTGGTGCATTGCTTAACTTTGGGACCAGGAAGCCCCATCTGTACTTCTTGCATCAGCTCCCTTGGCCCCTGGCGTGCTGGGGTAGGACAGGGAGGGGTCTGAAAACTTTAACCTTAGACCTAAAGTGAGTGGAGGTTGCATGGTGTGGCAGCTCCAGGCACTGATTGTGTGCTCTACTTCTTGTGCCATAGAGCAAAGTGGAGGACATTGTGCAGGAAGTGTTTGATGCCTACAAGACGAACCACCATGCTGTGCAGTAAGTGCCCCGTGAGTGCTCCCACAGCATGCTCTGGGCTGGGGCTCTGCTGAGCCCTGCCTGCTGCCTTGCAGGTTTGTCCTGCAGCGGGAGAAGCACTTCCACTACCTGAAGAGAGGCCTCCGGCAGCTGGGTGAAGCATATGAGGTACTGAGCACAGCCCCAGGGCTCCCTGGTGAACCCTTCAATTGTCATCGAGTTATTCCTGCCCTGGAGGCTGCTCCTGTGCCATGGGGTGCCCCGGGGTGGTGGATTCGTGATTTGCCCTTCCCAGAGTGCCTGTAGCCCCTCATGTTCCCCCTGTCCCTATAGTGTCTGGATGCCAGCCGCCCCTGGCTCTGCTACTGGATCCTGCACAGCCTGGAGCTGCTGGAGGAGCCCATTCCCCAGTCGATCGCCTCTGAGTAAGTCCTTCCTTAGCCTTGTGGGACATCGAGGGGTCTGCACCCCATGAGCCACATCAGAGCTGCTCAGCGTGGGTGTGCCTGCTCCCAGAGGTGCCCACTGCCCTGTCCTCTGGGGCCACCTCCCGCCGTCGCCGTGTCCCTGGCGCCAGCACAACGGTGCTTTGTGTCCTGTGGAGCCCTCAATGCTGCCTATTCTTGCCGGCCAGCATCTCGTGACAGAGGGAGGTGGGGGAGATACAGGAGTCAGCATCCACGTCCTGGGGTGGGGGGCTCCCTGAGGTGGTTGGGACACATCACCAAGGTGGGAATCCCCCTGGAAACACCTGGGGACACTGAGATGTGGCTGGAACCTTTTTCTGCTATGGGATGTGCTAAGGGAAGGCTCACTGCCATCCTGGAACCCTCACCCTCTTGCCCACCCCGCCCCAGTGTCCTTCCCTGGTTCCTGTCCCCAGCTGTCCTCCTTGTCCCTGCAGTGTCTGCCAGTTCCTGAGCTGCTGCCAGAGTCCCCAGGGTGGCTTTGGGGGGGGGCCAGGCCAGCACCCCCACCTTGCCCCCACTTACGCCGCTGTCAACGCGCTCTGCATCATTGGCACAGAAGAAGCATATAGCATCGTTGATAGGTACAGGAGGGTGGTGTGGGGCTGTGGTTGGGGTGTGTGTGGGGGGTTTCTAGCTCCACGCTGCCCCACACACCCGCATTCTTCCACAGGCAGAAGCTGCTGGAGTACCTACACACGCTGAAGCAGCCCGATGGCTCCTTCCTTATGCATGTAGGCGGTGAGGTGGATGTCAGGTGGGTGAGCTGTCCCCTCTTTGACCCTGTGCAGCCCTCACCAGGGCTGGGGACAGAGGGGACATTGCCCCCTTCTCCCCCAGGAGCGCCTACTGTGCTGCTGCGGTGGCATCGCTGACCAATATCCTCACACCTGCGCTGTTCACTGGGACAGCCGAGTGGATAGCAAGGTGAGTGCTGGCCCAGAGCGGGCACAGGGTGGGTGGCCCCTCTGTCACTGTCCTTAGTGTTGTCCTCATGCAGATGCCAGAACTGGGAAGGCGGTATCGGCGGGGTGCCAGGCATGGAGGCTCATGGTGGGTACACCTTCTGTGGGCTGGCAGCACTGGTCATCCTGAAGAAGGAGCACCTGCTGAACCTGCGCAGCTTGCTGGTGGGTGTCACAGGGTGCCGTGGTGCTGGGGGGTCCCGGTCCTGGTGATGAAACCCACTCCTGGTGATGAAACCCACTCCTGGTGATGAAACCTGCTGTCCCATGCAGCACTGGGTGACTGGGCGGCAGATGCACTTCGAGGGTGGCTTCCAGGGCCGCTGCAACAAGCTTGTGGATGGCTGCTACTCCTTCTGGCAGGCAGGGCTGCTGCCCCTGCTGCACCGTGCCCTTCACACACAGGGTGAGTGGCCCAAACGGGGAAAACCGGGGCTTCATCTGCCTCCAAGAAGCATGTTTGTAGAAGGGGGATGAATGAGCTTGAGCAAGGAAGCAAAGTGTGGCACAGCCCTGGAGGGTGCGGCAGGACCTTCGGTTAGAAAGAGGCTTCCCTGGGGTGGTCTTGGGGTGTTTTAACAGACCCTCTTTCCCCCCTTCTCCTGTGCAGGTGATGAGGCGCTCAGCATGTCACGCTGGATGTTCGACCAGTCGGCGCTGCAGGAGTACATCCTGCTGTGCTGCCAGTGTCCAGCTGGAGGGCTGCTGGACAAGCCGGGAAAGTGAGTATTGAGGCAGTTGTGTGGGAGGTACTGCACCCCCAGGGCTCTCTGCTCAGTGTGCCCCCCACCCTGCCCCAGGTCACGGGACTTCTACCACACCTGCTACTGCCTGAGCGGGTTGGCCATTGCCCAGCACTTTGGCAGCGGAGATCTGCACCACGAGTTGGTCCTGGGCATCCCTGAAAACCGCCTGGTAGGTGGGGGGGGGGAGGGGATATGGGACTCCCACTTCAGGGCTTCTTCAGGCTCAAAGTGCTTTGTCCTTCACTCTGGCAGCAGCCCACGCATCCCATCTACAACATTGTGCCGGAAAAAGTGATGAAGGCAGCGATGCACTTCTTGCAGCAGCCTGTGCCCAGCCTGGAGGCAACAGGGTAGGGGTCTGCACTCCACCCATCTGGGCAGAGTGAGGCCCTCAGGGTGCTAGCCATACCAAAAAGGAGCTGGGGGGCCGTAAAGCAGAGCTGCCACCTGCCCTCAGGGTGAGTAAGGAGCATGGGAGGGTTCCCAGCCCTGCTCCCCCCTCCCCAACCCCAAGAAAACACAGCTACCATGGGGAAGGATAAAATACATTTTGGGTTTTTTTCCTTTTTATTATTTATAAGTCTTATAGTAAAGGGAAGCCTTAACTTGCAAGACAACTCTGAGCAGTATGTACAACATACTTTAGATCCATGGAATGAATGGCGTTAAAATGGGGTCACCTACAGGGAGAGGAGAGGTGGGGAAATGCCACAAATGTGGGGAGGCGGCTTCTGGTGTTCGTGTGTTGGAGGGGTGGGACATAGGGCAGGATGCACACGCAGACCACCCAGCCCAAGCCCTGCAGCTCCATGCCATGGAGGGCAGGGGGATGCCTTGCACACACAGGAAATAAATAGCGAGACCCCCCCCCCTGTGCTCACCCCCTGGGGGTGCCCACAGGTGGGCAATGGGGGCTGGGGGGGATGCCCGCCTCCTGCACAGCCTCGTGCTCAGCTCAGGGCTGCAGTGGTCCCTGGGTATAAATAGAAATGCTCATATAAAACCGAAGGGGGGGAGGAGGTGCAGAAAGGGGCTCGCTAGCGGCAGGGGGGAGAGGAAATGGGGGTGCTGGTGGCATGTCCACGCAGTTGGGGTCCCCCAGACCCCCTGGATTCCAGCACGGAGGGCTGCAAGGGTGCAGCCCTGGAGCCTTGAGGAGAAAAGGGTGAGTCCTTAGGGGGCCAGGGGGCAGGTGTGGGGGGGCCTAGCTGGCCTCCATGCGCAGCTTCTTCCTGCTCTGTGGCTCATCAGGCTCCGAGTCAGAGCTGGAGTCAGAGCCGCCGTCAAAAGCGGAGATGGCACTGCCCTTGGGGTTGGTGTACAGGCTGCTGTCTGCTGCTGGGTAGTTGGCCTGCAGCTGGGCACTCGAGCGCGCCTTCTCCAGGGCTCGCACTGCAAGGCAAGGGGCGTCACAGCCCAGGGTGGGGAGGGGCACGGCCTTTGTACCCCCTTCCTGGGGGGAGCTCACCTTGCTGCTCCAGCAGCGCGTTCTGCCGCTTGAGGTCATCGATGTCCTGCTGGTGCGTGTGGTTTTTCCGGCGCATGTACTGGATGTACTCTGTGGCTTTGTCCAGGATTTGGGCCCGGGATGCCTGTGGCAATAGTGGGAAAAGGCACGGGCCAGATAAAGACCTCAGCTCTGCCGTGGGGTGGAGGCCCCCAGGATGCGCGTGGCACCACTTCAGAGACCCGCAGCCCCTCACTGACTGCACCATTAGGTTCTGCCACCAAAACCTCAGAGCCGGGCAACGTTGGCAGGAGGAAGCACTGCTCCACTTGGCGTAGCCGAGGGAGGGGGAAGTCAAAAAGGTCCCTGTGGGGCGTGCCGCCGCGCTCCACAACCTCACCTTCTCGCCCTGCAGGGAGGGCACGGAGTCACGCAGGCTGTGGAAACTGTCCTTGATGTGGTCCCGCCGTTTGCGCTCCAGTGCGTTGTGGTGGGCTCGCTTGTCAGCCTGCGGGGGGTGGGGGGCGCGTGCACATACACACATACAGAGTGGGGCAGGGAAGGGGGGGGGGGGGCCACGGTGCTTTCAGTTTCCCCGTGGCGCAGCTTCCTGCTGTGGCTGAATTGGGGCTGGGCCTAGAAGTGGGGGCCGGTGGGGGGGAAGCAGTTTCACACCCCCCAGAATGCCTCACAGCCCCTGTAGCACACAGCGTTGCCTCTGCATATGCCCAAAGGGCACGGCCCCACCTGCGTCCCCTCTCCCTAAGGCAGCTTTCTGGAAAGAGGCAGCCCCATGCTGCTCAAAGAGAGCCCACAGAGAAACGGCTCCAGAAGAGACACCCTCCATCCCAACCACACAAATTCACATGTCTTCCCCATAAAGCAGGCACAGCCCTCCTGCTCCCCCCACCTGACAGCCCCTGTTTAATGCCACAGCCCCCCCCAGACGACCCCTAAACATAGCCTCCACAGGTATCATTACCCCTCAAAGTAAAGACACTTCCACAACATGGCCCCGCAGGTGTCTGTCCAAACCTCCCAAACCCAACTGTGTCCGTTTCCTTCCCCCACCCCCTCCAAGACAAAGTATCCTCTTATCAGCCTCCCAGACACACCCCAACACAACCCC